TTATGACCTTAACATTGGCGGTATGCCTATTCTGCTGATCCAGCGGAATCTATGGGAACTAGTCACATAAGTGCTGCTGATGTAGCGGAATTCGTGGGAACTGGCTACATAACTCACGGCAATATTCACAAAGGCAGGTTTGATAAACAAATCCGATGAACTCGACTTTTTTTACTAATTTAAATGCTGGCTATCGACGCAGTGAGTTTATTAATTTTTTTTTTAATTTTAGGCAAGTTGAGCTTGATTTTTGCTTCTTTGCTCGGATTATTTTGAACTCGATTTCGACACGTGCTCACCTCTGGGCCTTTTGGTAGATTTTCATAGAACTTTGGACTTTTATAACATGATTTGGGAATGTTTCTTGTTGCTCGAGCCAATAACAGGCAGCTCATTAACTTGATTTTGATATGAGCTGGCAGATCAGTTTTTTCCCGAATTTTCATGAAATTCTGAGCCTTCACAGATTGATATTTTGTCAAAAGGTTGGCTAAATGAATGACCGCATTCCAGCCAAGTGTTGTTTCTCAAGGCTTCTTCTTCTTGGTGGCATCATCAAGAGCGACGGAATACTTACTGGAATAAAAACTTGATTTAGACAAGATTTTTCCGATTATTCTTTAGCCCGATTTTCATGAAAACTTAAACTTTAGCTGCTGAATATGTGACGCTGATTTGTAAATGCTTTCTTTTGCTCGCAGCATTAAAGCGCCGGAAACTTTAACTGGATTTTGTTTGGCACTCACCCACAATTGATTATCTCGCTAGTTTTTATACATAGAAGTAAATAATGGGTCAAAAATGTACATCATACTCAACTACACGCTCTCCTTTCAAATCTCACAACTTTCAATGCAGAGCCGCTGGAAAGTTGAAAATCGCCTCACACTATATAAGACAATTGAAGCAAAAAATCCCGAAAATGCCACCCAAATAGCATAAAATGCTGATGTTTTTCCAACCATCAAAGTAATGAAATTAAATTCAACCCCCCGAAATCTTTCAAAAAAATCCCAACTTACAATTCAGGTCTGCTGGCAACTGACACCTTGCTCACCCTATAGACACCACTTCAAGTCAGAAATGTCCCTTAAATAACTCGAAATACCAAATTTTGTGAATTAACTAGTAATTACATTACACCCTATAGAAGACATATAAAGCTACAAATTTCACTCAAATCTATAAAATTCTGAGTTTTAGCAACTCCGTAAATGATGGTCGAAAAATGAACATTCACACTCAACTGCACGCTTCCCTTTAAACAATCCCTACTTCCAATCTAAAGCCGTTAGCAACGTGAAATTCGTTCACCCTATAGAAGACACTTACAGTTGGACGACGGAAAATTGCACTTAAATCGTACAAAATCCTGGTTTTTTTGAACCAGCTTATTGAATTGACTATAGTGGCATCTATTTTCACTCACTAATTCAAGTTTATATCGGTTATTTCAAAGAAAATGGCGTGGTCGAATTTTGGACCTAGACAAGACAAAAAAAAGTAGGTAGTTACATAGCCATAACAACTGACTCTGCAACCAGAGTACCGAGAAGACACCAGGCATCAGCAGAATACCAAGAAGACACCAGGCATCAGCATTTGACGTGTCAGCAGTTGCGTTTACTTCATTTGGTTGTTATACATAATTCTTTCATTCTTTGTAACCACCTTGTGGAATTAAGTAGTAAGCTTATTCGCTGTTAAAATTAAATAAAGCTTTTTAAGAACGGTTTCGTTAAATAAAGTTTTATAATTAGGTACACTTATCGGTTCTCTCAATATGAGCTAAAAACTAACAGCGGTTTTCAATATCCGCAGAAATTTGGGATTTTTGCATTTTGCGTAAAAGCTACAAACATTTCTAGAATGAGGTTTTATATGAAAAAAAGCGCATTTTAAGGCTCTGTCCCTCGATAACAACTAGAGCATTGCAGCTCTATCAGTTCTATCAATATCGGCCAAAAAACTAACAACGGTTTTTAATAGCCGCAGGAATTTCGGATTTTTACATTTTGCGTGAAAACTACAAATATTTCGAGAATGATGTTTTATATGAAAAAGGGCTCATTTGAAGGCTCTGTCCCTCGATAACAACTAGAGCATTGCAGCTTTATCGGTTCTCTCAAGAGGAGCCAAAACTAACAGCGATTTTCAATATCCGCAGAAATTTGAGATTTTTGCATTTTGAGTAAAAATTACAGACATTTCTAGAATGAGGTTTTGAGGAATGAGCATTTTAAGGCTCCCCGACAACAACTAGAGCGCTGCAGCTCTATCGATTCTCTCAATACGAGCCAAAAACTAACAGTGGTTTTCAATATCCCCAGAAATTTGGGATTTTTGCATTTTGCGTAAAAACTACAAACATTTCTAGAATGAGGTTTTATATGAAAACGGGCGCACTTTAAGGCTCTGTCCCTCGATAACTACTAGAGCTTTGCAGCTCCATCGGCTCTCTCAATATGCGGCAAAAACTAACAGCGGTTTTCAAGATACATACGCACAATTTCAACACACAATACACTACACAATATAATATTCTAAAAAATAAGTACAGGGTGAACCAAGTAACTAAGGCCTAAATTAAAGAGTTGCAATGCTGGCGGAGGGTTCCGGTACTGGCCCACTTGCGGTGCTGCTTCCCACTAACTCCTGCCGCGTCCTAGTACAAACTGCAACCAATTAAGTTAGATAGCTTTTGCTGCCTCCAGTCCCAGCCAGTTGGGCCAGTCCCAACTAGTGGGCATTCTCACCTCTTTTCGACGGTTCCCACCCGATAGTGGCGTTGTTTTTCTGGTTCTCCGTCTCCAGCCACTTGTGCAGAGGCTTGAAAAAGTCCAGAATTCCAGTGCCGTCCATCGTGCGCTGTCCGGTGATCACTTCAAGCGCCTCCGGCCAAGGCCTGGACGATCCCATGGCCAGCATTTGCCTGAAATTCACTCTGCAAGCTACCAGGACTAGTGAATTAGTGGGCGACTCACTTTAGCACATTGCCTGCGGTGGTGCTTTGATAAATGTCGCACTGATGCAACGGTTTTTCCGCGTTATTCGGATCGTATTGGCCGGCTTTTTCGCACAACGCCCTGTGGAACTGATACTGGATGACAAAGCTGATAAAATACCTAAAATCCAAAGTCATTAGGATAGACCAAAAGGACGTTCAGAAGTTTCGGTTGGTAAACTACCACATCAGTTGGATTTGGTTATTAAAGCGGGGCGTACCTCAAGTAGGGAACATCGCTGATAATGTGGTACTTGGCGCCCGGATCAAAGTCCTCCTCGCTCCTATCCAGCGGCGGTTCCACTCCCTGGTACTTCTCCCGCAACTCCCACCACTTGCAGTTGTAGTCCTCGGGGGCGGTTTTGCCCGAGAATACGTCCCACCTCCACAGATCCATCAAGTACCCGAAGGGCAGGAAGGTGATCTTGCTCAGTCCCAGCTGAAACACTCTGTAGGATTCATGGGGCCTCGACTAAAACGCGGTTTTTACATTGAAGAGATTGTTGAGGACCTGCCGCGGATCCTCGGGTGTGTCGGGCAACAGTCCGATTTTCTTCAGATGTTTGGTGCTCTGCACGGAAAGCGCCACCAAGTCCCCGATGGCCTCATGGAACCCGTCGTTTGCGCCCTCTCTGAACTTCAGCGGCTGCTCTTTGTACTGCAGGAAATACTCCACGTGGCCCATCTCATGGTGGGCGGTGATTAGTTGCTCATCCGTTACTTCGGTGCATTGTTTGATTCTGGAACAAAACCCAGGATTGTTGATCAGCGAAAGATGTAGAGCAGGGTTTCCCTAGCTTTTTCGAAAATAAAACACTTGGCAAACCCAGAAATTTTAACGGAACCCTTGAAGCTGCTATAGTTCCGAAGATCCCTGTACTGGTCATCGAAAAAACTTACCCTGTATAAAGAACGGTGAAGCGTCTTACCTGAAGTCTTTGCCGTCTTGAAAGTCCCAAGCGGACGCATGGCACACAATGTCCCTATCCGAAGGCTTTTCCAGGATGGAGTTCGTCCAAAAACTCTCGGGCATCGCGGTGAGGTTGATCGACTTGAAGAAAGCCTCCGCTGTCCGGAAGATCTTCGTGACTGAGTAATTCTATGGAAAGCCAACAGCTTTAATTAATTAACTAAATTGATTCCCCTCTAACTTGCCTGCTTCAGAAGCTCGGCGGTCAGATTGTCCTTCTTTACATCCGGATAGGGCAGCATCAGATCGCCGATGTTGTTCCAGCTCTGGCCCCACATGTTTCCTGCCCCAATCATCAATCACTCCCAATTCGGTTCGCAATTTCAGCCAGAAAACTCACCAAGTAAATGAACGGGAATCGGCCCCCGTTCACTCACAATATCCCCATACTTTTGCCTCAATTTCGTGCGGACGTAGGCGTGAATTTGCAAATAGAGCGGCTGCAACTGTTTCCAGAGGCTCTGCACTGAAGCCTTGAAGTTCGCATCTTCATAGTCATTCAGCCAATACTCGGAGGTGTCTGTGAAGTTGTTAAGTTTTGCCGCGTCGTTCGAAAGATCCACATATTGCTTGTATAAGCCGCGGCACTTCGCTCCCACTGCATTCCGCCAGCCCAGCCACACGTGCTTCAGTTCCTCTGGATCTCTTGATGTGCTCAGAATCTGTGTCAGCTCTGGAAAGCCGCTCAGAATGAGCAAAAGGGCGCGGATCTAAAGAGGTGGTTGTTACCCGGTTCCAGGCTGAGAGTGCATTCGGCTCCATCTTCAGGCTTCTGACCGATAGGGCAGATTTTCGCCTTGGAGTATATGGCCTGCATGTCGCTGATGATGGTTTCCAGCTGTTTGAACTTTTCTTCGGGCAAAGCGGCCACGCCCAGCACCGAATACTTCTGGAACTGGCGCCGCAGACTGTAATCCGAAAACCGCTGCCAGTTGAACTGGATCACCCGCTGCCAGGCCTCCTTTACATTTCTGGCCACCTCTGAAGACACCGCAAGCTACAATACAAGCTTAAACCCCTGCCTACACGGGATGTACAAACAAACTCACCTTGTTATTCAGGTTTTCTTCCGTTAGGTTTGAGGCGTAGGCCCATTCGGCTAGCGAAGCCCTATTGGCGTCCCGTTCCGTTTGTCTGTTTAGCAGGATGAGGAAGTTTCTTGCCTCGTACTCTTCTTCTTCTATACTGGCGTCCTTAGCCCAGGGATGCAGGGGGCAGAGCCCCAGCAAAAGCGCCAAAATGGGGATTATTCTCAGGATCATCTTCAGGCTTCTGCAGCCTTTAGTGTTGATATTTTAAAGTGTGTTCGTTGATTATTCACTGAATGTCTGTTCTTATCTTGACTGGAAAGGAATTTCAGGGGCGCCTTTAATCGCGGGCTTCTAGTCGATTGCTAATGGTTTTTCGAGTGCATTTACTGGGTGTGTTCTATAAAAAGAAAGCGTTTCGGTTCATCAGGTCGAGAGTCATTATCAGGCAAGTTCAAGAATTTACCGGTCAGGTTCTTGTAGGTTGGACCTACGCCTGGGTAACACTGTGTTGAGTTGCGCTATTAAGTTGTTGCCGCTCTCTCTCTGAGTTAATGAGTTATAACTCATCGGTTAATGAGTTATAATTCAGTTGTTTAAGTTTTACGAGACTCGAGACTGGAGTTTTCACATCTAAAAAAGCGTCATTAAAATTTTTTTCGAGTAACGTTTTACTACTTTGTTTAAACAACTAATAAAAAGTAATCTCGATTTTCCCGGAACTGAGTCTAAAGAGAGCCGACGAATTTTCTTGTAAAATCGATCTCGTCATTTTTTTGCATAAAAGATTCAGTTTGCCAGTATTTTACAGTAAAACTTTAGAAATAACGCGTTCTTTCTGTTTAGACATTGTTGTTTCGAAATATTGATCTAAAAGTGAAGAAACTCCAGTTTCCAAGAGTTTTCCAAGGAAATGATTATAAACTTTTGCTTTTTCAGTTCGGGGAAATATTTTTGGAAAAATACCTAGACATAATTATTAGGATTTTATCCATAATTCGAAGCTGCAAAAAGATTTCCAAACATTTTTGCTAAGCGCAAAGCAAAAACTAAAGAATAATGCGATTTTTGCGTAAAGAAAATTGTTTAAAGGAACATTGTTAAAACTGGAATGACCTGAAAATTTAAAGCGAACGATGAGGGCGGCGAAATTTCCAAATAATTTTTTGTAAACTTTTGCTCTCTGGTTGTTTCTTCAAGATAATCCTTGCGGTAAAATAAACTGAATAAAATTATTTGGTTTTGGTGCAAATTTGAAGCTGAAATTAGTTTTCTAAAGTTCTCTGCAAACCGACGGATGAGGCGAATTTTCTAGCAAAATTGATTTTGTAATTTTTGGCTGAAAATACCCCATTATTGTCAGAGAAGAAGAAAATTATAAGAATTCTTTTTTTGCGTTTTTGATTAAAAACTTTTAAATTTGGGATCGGTTTTGGAGAAAACCTTAATGGTTTTCGGGGAAAAACGGGAGGAATTTATGTTCGTTTTTGTCCCGAACTCGACCCTGAAAAAAGTTTATCAACATTTTTCCAGCAACGGAACTGAGTTACTGCGTCGGTGCGTTGGGTTGGCGCACCAAACCATTTGCGTCGTGCACTGTGCCAACTCCTAAAAATTCACCTACGGAGTTACCCAGACCTAGTTGGAGCTAAGCATTTAATTCCTCTGCAAGTTTCGAAGGCAGAACGTCACTTTTTCGTTTATTTTATAGGGTAAAGTTGCTTCAAGATGTGGACACAGTTTCGATTTTGAATCATCTTTTGCAATTTTTCACAATTTTCCAATATTGCGTTTTGTTTACGAGGTTGTTTCTTTTCGCTGAATAAAGTTCGTGAGTCGATGTTTGGATGTATTAAGGCCAAATCCATTTTCTAATAGTACAAGTCAATAGGTTCGATTTTCTGCCATCTGCGTGAATTTTTTTCAAGGTTTTAGCCGATAATTAAGCAGGCACGGGGTTAACATTTATTTCTTCAGGAACTTGCAAAGGCAGAGAGTCATTTTTTTGCCAAATTTGTAGGGCAAAGTCTGTTCTACAAGTAGTAAAATAAACGTTTCGATTGTGAATCATCTTCAGTAAAATTACTTCAGGAATTTGTCACAGTTGCGTGTGGATTTATCGGATATTTAAACAGTTAGGGGTTACCCGAGGACGTTGCATGCAAAAGGGAGTGTCGCCTTTCTAACTCGTTTTTAAGGCAAAGTTTGTTCCATAAGTGGTATCTTAAACGTTTCGATTTTTAATCATATTTTGCGACTTTAAACCCGACTCCGTAATGAAAATTTCGGAGAATTTGTTGCGGAAAAAGATAAACTGTTGGCAGCGCGGATTACGAACACTTTTGTTTTGTCCATTTGAAGGCGAAAAATTGTCAAAAGAGCGTTTATGAGTTGGGAAACTGATCCCTTCATATAGAGCATTGAGGACTGAATGAAGACTGAGCGCTCAAAATAGGAAAACGGTAAGGTTGTGGCTTTGCAATTTTCAATCAAGAGCAATGAGGAGAATATTTGAGAAAATGTCTTGAACCATGAAATGATCCAAAAAGTACGATAAACAACGAATTTATCGCTTTTAGTTGCAATTTTCGTGAAGAATTTCGATTTTTTTGGTTCAATATGGGTGATTTTTGCCAATTTTGGTGTGGCTTTGTGGCAAAGATGGCTCTGCTAGTAAACGCACTTTTCCTATTCTTGCATAAAAGTCATTCGCCATATTTGCTCTAGTCGGCTGTCATTGAGGTGCCAAATTATGAACAGTGCACGTCAGTTGCAAACTTTTTTGGGATTTATTGCCCATTTAAGGCCGAGAAATGGCCAAAAGAGCATTTTGAAGTTGGAAAACTTATCCTTCCACATAGAGCATTGAGCACTGAAAAGACATTGAGCGTTCTAAATAGGAAAACGGTAAGTTGTTGCTTTGCAATTTTCAATCAAGTGCAATCAGAAGAATATTTGAAAAAAATGTCCTGAACCATGAAATGATCCAAAAAATACGATAAACAACGAATTTAACGCTTTTAGTTGCAATTTTTGTGAATAATTTTTATTTTGTCGCTTCATTAAGGGTGATTTTTGCCAATTTAGTGTGGAACTTTCAGCTCTGAGGGAAAGATGGCTCTACCCTTAAACGCACTTTTCCTATTCTTGCATAAAAGTCATTCGCCATATTTGCTCTAAGCGGCTGTCATTGAGGTGCCAAAATATGAACAGTTCGCGTCAGTTGCGAACTTTTTTGGGATTTATTGCCCATTTAAGGCCCAAAATGGTCAAAAGAGCCTTTTGAAGTTGGAGAACTTATCCTTCCACATAGAGCACTGAGCACTGAAAGGACATTGAGCTCTGAACGTCGGAAAGCGGTAAGTTATTGGATTGAAACTTGCAACAAAGTGCAATTACAAAAATATTTGAAACAATGTGCTGACGAACATGTGTAGAAATTGCAAAACCTCACGGAAGCACAATAAGCAGTCAAGTTATCGGTTCTAGTCGCTTGATTGCACTATTCTCGAAGGCTACTTGGTGATGAAATGTTGGATGGCAAAGTGGGCGATGGTGCAAATGCCGAATTTTTCTTTTAAAAATGGTCAATAGGTCAGATTAGACCCAATTCCTTATCAAAGTTCGTCAACTCGTTAAGTAGATGTTTGCGCGCAAATTCAGCCATTAGTTTAAAGGCTTTGGATTTTTGCTTTTACCATTCGCTCGAGGCAAAAAGATGGAAACTTACCAAAGGTAACTAAAAATCCACCATCAACACAGTGGCACAATTCGAACAAACTGTCCAATTTTCACTGATCGCGCGAACCGTTCACGTTCTATTGGAACAGCCTTCTATACCGAGTGTATCGACCGCAACGACTTTTGACTAAATCTTTTTAATTTATTTGTATCTGTTTCCACTAATCGCTTGGTCGCGATCCGTTAGAGGCGAACTTGACCACTGCATTGGCGTAGCAATCGACGATTTTACCCATTTTACGCCATCAGCAAGCGGCAGTTTAGAGCTGTGCTGGAACATTCTGCACGTCTCTGGGCCAGTTTTGCCTTTTTCTCAACCAGAAGAAGGCTGCGAGGCAATAGACCTCAACGCAAAAAACTCGCCTTGACCGCCAGATCCATGAATTAAATTTCATTTGATTTAAAATTTATTGAAATTACACGGTTGGGCAGCGAGTGTTTGGACCATTCAACGACTTGAAAATGGGGCCTTCCAGGGCTTTATATGAAAAACTTGTCCATCAAATGGGCCTTAGTGAACCACAATGTTTTCTCTGAAACCTTTCGGCAGTGACGTCATTACTTTTAAATTTTTTCATATCCGAAATCTTGCGTAGATGTCAGCTTAAGCTTTTGTTCCCAGTGATTTAAGTCGTTTTTAGACAGAAAATGAGCACAAATCGGAAAAAGTGCGCGGTGTAATACCGAATTAGAATAAAATCGTGATAAAATCCCAGTACAGTAATGGCAGGGGAAGAACGAATGATGGGCACTATCGAATGATTTCGACTATCGAATAATGACAAAATGAATGATTGCAACTATCGAATAAAATCAATCGAATGAATTAATTTATTGAATAGTGAAAGCCATCTAGTGCCGTGTAGAAAAGTTTCAAATTACAAACTTAGTCTTGAAAAAATTTTGATACATCCATATTTTTAATAATAATATTGCAAAGTTTGATTTTTAAATATAAATATTTTCATTTTAGCGAAATTAAACATTACTTATTGATTTAATTTTTGGTTTATGGATGTATTTTTCTTTTCTGTTGTTAACTAGCTATTCATATTTATTTTATCTCAATGTTTGCATTTCCTACTTTTCTTGAAATAGTCTAGTAAAAACTCTACAAATTATTCGTATTTAAGCCTGTTGCTAAGAGTAGGCACTTATTCAAAATGCAAATATAGATATAGCACTTTTTTAATCATAAAATTTTTGGTAAAAAAGACAATATTAATAAATGAATATTGAATATCTTTGCTTAAAAAGTGGAAAATTAATTTATTTATAATTTGAATTCGTTCATTGCAATCGACTTAAAGCCATCTGAATATCCGAAATTAGAAAACAAATGAATAAAACAATGCTATCGAATAATTGAAATAACATTTCAAATTACAACTATCGAACAACTCGCTAATAAATTGCAACTATCGAATAGTTTCATAGTTTTTATTCGATAGTTCCCATCATTAGGCAAACCCCATTTGAAACAGTGCTCTATATTGGGCAAATTCGCTGGTCGGCCGTAGCGTGGCGCCATGCGGCGCTGCCTGCGTCAATCTCATTAAAATATGGAGATTTTGCGAGTGGGAGTGTTCGAACCAAATCCTCCTAACCCTATTAATTTCGAATGTCGATTTACGTGAATTAAGTGGTGGAGAAATCGGTAAAAATGCCCCGTCTGGAGTGAACCGCGTTGGCGAAACGCCCCACGGCCCCCATTCAGCCTCTAAATTGACAATGTTTGATCGTATAGAACGGATAAACAAACCCCTTGACTGTCAGTGTTTGTTTTGTACCTGAGGAGGCTGTTCGACGGGTAGAAACGTCGTTTTTGCTAAAGAAAAGTTTCTGGTAACACGCCCGTTTGGATTTCGCGAAGAAAACCGAGCGCTTTTAGATCAGGATTTGACGGAGGGGCCCCAATTTGAAGCAGGTGTCCGATTGCAATGTGTGCCCCATTCTAGTGGATTTTGGTGCAAACCCGCGCGGACTTTTAGTGCCCCACAATGAATTCCCGGTTGCATTTAGCCGGTTCCTTTCTGAACAATTCGCTAGCAATTCGCCAGGAGATTCAGAGATTTGAGAGCGTTCATCCCTCGATTTATGCAATCTACGATTTGATTGACTTGGTACCGGATGGGGTGATCGCTCAGCAGATTCGGGACCACGTCGTCTGCATTGAAGGTAAGAAATTGACTGCTTGACCTTGTTGTTTTGGGGTCTCGAAATTGTACTTTATTGATCCTGGGTAAAACCAAGAGCTGGAGCCCCTGATAGTGTCCGAATAGGCAAAGGGTTCGAATTTTAGGGCTTTTTTACCCCAGACCTGGCAGTGAGTGTAGGGTAGTTTTTACTGGTTTACTGGTAGGAAGGCGAAACCTCGATGATTTTCTGAAAATTTGTGTTTTAACGTTGTTTGATTTTATGTGAGAACAATTTTTGAACGTTGTGGTAGAAAGGCGAACAGCAGAAAGATTTCCGTGAAAAAAACCCTTAAATTTCAAATTTTTACAGAAATTAATCATTGAAAAACTGATTGTTCATTTCAAGCGAGTCGCTTTATACAATTTGAGGCGCAGATTTAACAGTCTGTGAAAATTTGCCCAAGTTTGCCACTCAAAAGCGTTTGTTAGTTGTTTTAGAGCACTATTTATTCCTCAAAATGATGCGAAATTGAGCGCTATATCTTGTGCGTATCCGTGCGAAATATTTTTTGAAATTCTTCATTTCCAGTGCATTGCTTTACACAATTCGAGGCACAGATTGATTAATCTGTGAAAAAGTGTCACTCAAAAGCGCTTTTCAGTTTTTCAGAGCACGATTTTCTCCTCAAAATTGTGTTAAAATGATTTGAAATGATGAAATTTTTTGTTCCTTTCAAGCGAGTCGCTTTACACAATTCGAGGCGCAGATTTAACAGTGTGAAAATTTGGAAAAACGCAGTGATTTTCCACTAGTTTCAGTGAATTGCAGATAGACTCTCTTGCATCCACAAGCCTAAAAGCTCATTTGTAATTTTTACAAATTGGATCACGTTAACGCTAAGATCTCTTTAGTTTTTCACATTGATGCAGGCAACTTTTTACGTGCAGTTGTTCGATTTAAATGCGTGGATGGCCGCAATTAGTGGATCGACATGGCCTGGTGAAAATGTGTTAATTTTCCAGCCAGATTGTTCATCATTGTCGAAGCCCGTCACGTATTTTGCGCGTACTGTAAATTGCGGATTTACGTGCCAACTGGTCGCCTACCATATTTGTCCAGCCACCTACTGCTGATTTAATGCAGTGTGACTCAGGCCCAGGAGGCGCATTTCGAGCTTTTTCCTGTCCTAAAAACAATGTTTTCTTCGGTTCCAAGCCCTGTTAACTAACAAAGTTGATGTCCGCAACACGGTGGCCCAATTCATGCAATCGCCGATCTAACACATTTACCAATGATTTAAATAACAGGCAACAGTGCTGAACTTTCCGTCTTTTGCGGTAAGCGCCGCAAAAATACTTGAAGAGAAATCAAGCGGAATCCTGACCACTTCGATGCGGTTTTGCCAGTTAATTAACTAAACGAAATATGTGTAGCAGTTATCAAATTGATGTCGTTATTTTTAGGCCAAGAAAGATTAGCGGATTTTTTTCTGTTTTATTTTTTAATTAATTCGCCAACATTCCATGTTTATTGTGTTGTTTTGTCCTCGTAGCCGCACGTTATCACTTCGGCCATGTTCAGTCGCTTCCACAATAGATTATTCAGAGTAACGGTAGTGCTAACATCGAAGAACACTTGGAATTGAAAAGATATCGCCCGATGGTGTCACTCGTGACCTGAAAGTCCAATTGCATCGCTGCTTTATTCAACAGATTGCTATATTTAGCTAGGACTTTTTGTTGTTTTGGTTAAATGATCGATTTGAGCGAGCGAATGGGTGTTTTAGCGGGTTGTAGAACATCCATACAATATGGTGAATGCGCTACTTTAATATTTTGTTTATCAGTTGAGATGTACATGATAGCGAATGCGCCCACATGGAATTTGCTGATTTTAAATCTGTTCTTGATTGGAGTGCGGGTATTCTCTGGCCGTCTTCATTGCGATATTCCTTGTTTATTAATTGTAATTTTACATACAGTTATAATTACATAGTAAGCCCTAGCACTACCCCACTTGCACTCACTGAACCGTTGATTGTCTACATAAAATGGTGAATAGCTAGTTTTCTGAAAATATCTATAAAAATGCTGTTGAACGGGAACTTTTGAGGTTTTTAGAAGATTGTTTTCTCCTCAGAATGGTGAGAAAATGAGCTCTCTTATTTGGGTGGTTTTTCCGTAATTAATTTTCTAAAATTCGTTTCCGAAGTTTTAGAGGATGCTTGTCTTCTAAAAATGATGCGGAAATGAGCTCCTTAGCTTGGGTTGATTTTTCGTAATTAATTTCAAAAAATTGTACAATCCACCGAAGGCGAACAAAAAATTGTACAATCCACCGAGTCAAATTCAAAATTTTCTCGAAACTCGCATAAATTTTCCATTTAAATGGAGCTTTCAGGAGTTTTTGAGCATGGTTTTCTCCTAGAAATGGCGAGAAAATGAGTTTCGTAGCTTTGATAGTTTTCCCATAATTAATTTTAGAAAAGCGGAATTATGCAATTGCGGTTACAACTTTACAACAAATTGTCCCAAAACTGCCATAAACTTTTCATTTCGATGGAACTTTCAGGAGTTTTAGAAGATGGTTTTCTCACAAAGATGGTGTAAAAATGAGCTCTTTAGCTTGGGTAGTTCTTCCATAATTAATGTTAGCGATTTCTATCGATGCCGAATTACGCAATTGTGGTCACAACCTCAAAATTTTCTTTCTCAAAACTCATAAAATTTTCGAAGTTTTAGAGGGATGTTTTGTCTTGAAAGTGGAGCGAAAATGAGTGCTCCAGCTTGGCTACATTTTCTGTAATGAAGATTAATTGTAGAAAAATCCGTTGCAAATTTCTTGTAGGCAAATTGCGGGCACAAATTCGAAATCTTCTTAAAACTGCCGTGTTCGAGGATGGCTTTTTCCTCAAAATGATGGGGAAATAAATTCCTTAGCTATTGTAGTTTTCCCGCAATTAATTTTTGAAAGACATAAGGCCAATTTTCAATTAAACTAAGCTGGTTGCCTGAACTTATGCCATATTGGTTAACAATCGCGGCCCCACAAGGGAAAAAGCATTTGCATGGTGCATTCATGAATTGCATCCCTTAAAATCAATTTGGCCACGCAGCCACCATTCTTGTGCACCCGTTTTACCTGGGTTTTCATTCGAAGAAACCGATGATAGGACACGGTTAGGAGCGCAATTATCGTCCATGGGTCATAAATCAGGTGAGACAAACGGCCGCCACAAAATGTACTGCCGGACATTTGCATTAAATGTCCCGGTAAATAACCAGACTGGCCAGTTTCGCAGCTACTTGAACTGTTCGGCGGTTACTTAACAATTAAACCAGAAAATTAGTAATGGTTGCCCGGAATATTTCGCTGTTTAAATGTCTTTAAATTGATGAATGTTGAGGTCCAGTTCGGGGCGCATATACTGTTTGATCATTGGTTCCTCAACATTACGTCATATACAGGGTGTCCCGCAAGCACGGGGTCAAATAGGCACTGGGACATTCTTCAGAAGAATCCACTGGCTTATCAACGGATTTCATTCTAAGTATTTCTGGAAATCTATGGAAAATATATGGAAATATCTTGACAGAAATGACAGATAAAAAACGAAAACTGACGTCAAATATTATTATAACGTGGCAACAGCATGGAGTCTTTTCAGTATTCGCGAGCTCAAAAGTCCAAACGCCCACTGGCGGCTAAATGATAACTGCACTTTAACTAGTGAAATTTGACAGTTATTTTGATTAGATGTCATTGTGAGTTATTTTGATTTGTTTTTATCAGCTTTTGCAGGCTTCTAAACAGATGGCAACCTATTGAAAAGGGTGTAAGTATTGTGTTATGTTGACTTGAAAACAAACGTGAAAATATGGGATGTAAGCAAATGGCGAGTAAGTTTACGTTTTGCAGCAGCCCAATCGGTAGTTGAACTCGCGAATTGTCTAATTTGCTGCCTGACGTCACGTTCGAAAGTCATAGATCAGATTATACAGGGTGATTTAAAAGTGGCATCATTCCTTTTAAGGGGTAATAGGGGCTCACTTGGAAGGTACGAGAAAAATATTAAAATTTAGTTTTCGATAATTTCTAGAAGATATGCACAGTTGAAAATCGAATTTCAACTTTGTTATTAAGCACTACAGGGTGATTCAAAATTGTCGTCATTCCTCTGGAGGTGTTGTCTGGCGCTGTTATAGGAGTACTGAAAAAATAGTAAAATAAATTAATTGTTATTAAAAACTGAGAAATGTGCAAAACACTATATCAGAAATACGGCAGCAATGTTTTTCAAGGTAATCTGCCTAATTAACATTGCGCAAATACCTGTTGCTTCGTAATTATTAAAAACTCCGGTAACCATGAAATGATACAGAGTGACAATAAGATAGACAAGGATAAACGGTAAATTCAACAAGATTTGTTGACTGCGGAACGTACTTTCTAAATATCAACCTGTTCTCATAACATCGTGCCCGTGTAATCTCCTTATTATCCACTCTTATCAAGCAGCTTCTCGTATTCAGTTATTGAACTCCTGCTCCATTTGTACATGTTTGTGCTCCTTGTACTGTGTGTATCGTATAAACGTGGTAGGAATGTAGCCCTTCCTCGGTATTTATTTGGTGCTTGAAAAAGTGTCAGTTATTGTGCTCTGAGTACCCCTGGAAGGCCCTGATTCGATTATGTTCAATACTAGTTCCTCTGTGCCTGGAACCCGAATATCGATTGTCGTCCACTGTCTTCCTGGACGCACTCTTTCAGCGTCTGCTATGTTACTGTAGCATTTCCCCTGAACTA